CTCCCTTGATTGCTTGCTCTACGTACAGGCCTCCATCTCCTACAAACCCAGGGACACTTCCTGATGTCATTTCCTCTGCATCTCTTCCATGCTCTCTACTGTATGGCAGACTACTTTCGTGCACATGAGTTTTTCTTCATTTTCCATTTCTCCAGTGTGTCTTACATTTAAGAGCTATATGATAGATATTTATAGAAATAACTCTCATGAATACAGAAGCAATTTATATTTAGTACAACTTTTTGGACTCTCTTTTCCATAAAGTGGGGGGTGTGCCAGAATATTTTGGGGAAGTAGTCCCAAGGATATGATTTAAATTCCCAGTGTTTCAGTAAATCTATTTTCCCTGTCTTTTTCTTAGTAGAAAAACCACCATCTGCTATATATTTACTTAACTAATTAATTAAGTGATTAATTAGGTCCTGCATGCCACTGCAGTAGCCCCTTGTTCAGGCTGACTAACTCCCATCTCTTTTGCCCTCCATTTCTACCACCTGCCCCTTACTTTTCTCAGCTGTGAAGTAGGTCAGTCTGTTACCTCATTGAGTCATTGTGATGACAAAATCATACAGTGCTGCTGAGATGTTTGAATGTTGGAAAGTGCTGAATGAAGTGATCTTGGACTAGGAACTTCTAAAACCACTGTGTAGGATAAAACATTTGACCAGATGGGAGAAGACAGCACCACCAGACAAATTATTAGTCATAATGAGCTTTGGGGAGATCATGCAGCACAAGAGTAGAGGAAGAAACAGGCAGAGATTAGGACTAAGGAAATTTCCTCCATTAATCATAGCGCTAAGAACAGAGTTCTCTTGTGTACCCACTTAATCAAAACAGCACACCTTCCCTGCAAAACGGCCGATACCTAAAACACACAAGTGTGTTATTTTAAAGCCATACCTTCAGAACAAGACAGCCTATTTAAAAATGAATAATGTGCATTTCTTTCTGGAAAGAACAAATCAATACCCCTTTGTGAGCCTAGGACCACACACTAACCTTTGCAAAGTACTTTGCCTTTATCCATAAGGAGGATAGAAGCTGCTTTTCATTCCCTCCCTTGGCTCTCTACCATTTGACCCAGTGAGAACAATTCCATCTCTCTCACCTCTGAGGCCAAGGCTGAAATGGAAGAAATTCACATCCCCATACAGTACAGTACATTCCAGGTGTGATGGGCACTCTGGGTACCAATTGCGTGTGTACGTGTGTGTGTGTGTGTATGTGTGTGTGTGTGTATGTATGTTATTGGAGATTGAATCCAGGGCCTTCATACTCAGCTGAATTCCCAGCCCCTTTTGATTTTTGATTTTACTAGATTGCTAAATTGCCCGGGCTGGGCTTGAATTTGCCATCTTCCTGTCTCAGCTTCCATTGTGCTGGGATTCTAAGCATACATCACAATGCCCAGCTCATTTTATTCTCAACCCAAAGCAAATTTGAGGTTGAGATTACTCAGAGAAGCACATTGTGCACTTTGTACCTTGGTACTTCAATTCATTTAAATAGTTAATTTTTTTGGTTAATATTTTTGAGCTCCTACTATGTACAAGAAAGACATTGTGCTGAGCTCTCTTCATAAATTTTCATTTTGTCCTCTTATTTTATAAGCGAAGAGATATCAGAATGGTTGTGGTGGAGCTGGGTTTTGAACCCAGGGCTTTGGGGCTCCAGAAACTGTACTTTTAACCATTGGGTTATACTTTAACCATTAGGTTCTTGCATACCATAGGATTAAATAGTAGGTGTAGAGGCACAGTGACGCACAACAACTAGGCCACGCAGTGAGAGGTCCAATAGGAGATTTTATTCAGGAAGGCAGGTCAGGGAGAGAAGAGAGGGAAGAAGAAGGAACAAAGAAAGGAAGGTCCTTTTATTGTTTTTGGGCTGTGCTATTGCTTATTTATGAGGGGTGGGCTACTTTTAACCTGTCATAGGCCAGGTTGCCCTTTATGGGTCCAATCCTGCAGAAACTTAGGTTTAACTCCTCCGGACCACTGTGGCCTTGGGAGAGAAACTAAAGATAAGAGCATGAGGTCATTTTAAGAAGCAAGAGGAACCAGGAAAATGCAGCCTGTGATGGCAGCATCAGGTCCCTAACAGTAGGGACACAAGAATGAATCAGATTCATTCCTTGTTCCTTAGTGTGAGAGGCTAATGTAATAGTTTGCCTATCTTTTATTTTTCTTTTTGGGTACCAGGGATCGAACTCAGGTCTCTTGTGCTTACGAGGCAGGCAGCAGAACCACTGAGCTAAATCCCCGGTCCAAGTCTGCCTATCTTATCTGCCTTTAATTTAGAATTTAGTAGACCAAGTTCCACCATGAGGTGGAAATTGTAGAGTACCAGAGCTTAAAATCTTGCCTGAAGTTCAGGTGACCAAGTAGGCATTCAAATCTCGTCATTCTGAATCCACAATCTACACACCTAACTGCTGTGCCATATTGTTTTCTGCAAATGTCTACAAACAGATATTCACCCACTTGTGATAACATCTTTAACAGAAGCAAGTAGGTACATAGTGTGTAACCATTGCTTGAGTCAAGAAGTTGGAAACATCACATTTGGGATGTAAATGCCATCACAAAGGGAGATGACAAAGGTGGGAATGACATTCCGTGCAGAAACCCTTAAAAATCAGGAGGGCATATCTGTTTCCATTGTACACAGTCTCCCATGTTGTTGACATTCATAGTGACCCAGTAGCTCAGATGTGGCGGGACATATTCCCCAAACCAGTGGTCTGGTTATTTGTTTCTAGGTTTTTTATTGAGGTTTTATGTACATAAAATGCACTAATTTTAAGTGTACAGTTTGATGAATTTTTACATAGGCATGCAACTACATAAACAACATTCAGGGTAAGATATAGATTATTTTCATAGCTCCAGACATTTCCTTCATGCTCCTTCCTAGTCAATACACATTGCTATGGTTTAAATATGAAGTAAGCCCAAAGACTTATGTGTTGAAGGCTTGCTCTTCGATGCAGCAGTGTTCAGAGGTGGGGCCTAGAGAGGTTTTTGGATCATGAGGGTACTAATCTTATAAATGCATTAATCCATAGATGTGTTCTTAGCTGAATGAGCTGTTAGGACTATTGGAGGTAGGGCCTAGTTGGAGGAAGTACGTCACTGGGGGTTTTCCTTTGAAGGATATATTTTATCCCTGGTCCCTTCCTGTCTCTCTAGCTCTTTTCCTCTCTCTCTCTGCTTCCTGGATGCCACAACATGAATAGTTTTCCTCTGCAATGCCCTTTTACTATGATATTTCTGTCTCATCCCAGGCCTAAAAGCAATAGAGTGGGTTGACCGTAGACTGAAGTCTCTGAAATCATGAACCAAAATAGATCTTTCTCCCTTTTTGTTTTTCTTTTCCGGTGTTGGGGATCAAACTCAGGACCTTGTGCTTGTGAGGCAGGCACACAGCACCACTGAGCTAAATCCCTGGCCCAGTCTTTCTTCCTTTAAATTGTTTTCTTCAGATAATTGGCAACATCAATGAAAAACTAACACATCCTCTGCCTGAGACAGTGTTCTGACCTCTACCACTTCTATTGGTTGGTTTGGCCAGTTCTTGAATTTCACAGAAAAATAATCATACAAAATATGTTCTCTTGTTTTTGTATTCTTTGCTCAACAAAATGTCTGTAAGATTCCTCTAGGTGGTTGTATGTAGCAGTATAAATTCCTTTGAAGTTTCTTTTCTTCCTCATCTTTCCCTCCTTCTCTCCCTCTCTCCCAACTACTTTCCTCCCTCTCTCCCTTCCTTCCTTCCTCCCCTTCTTCACCCCTTCCTTTGAGATTGAACTCAGAGCCTTCACACTGAGTTATATCCTTAAGCCCTTTTAAAATTTAATTTTTTAAAATTTTGAGACAGGGTCTCTCCAAGTGATTAAATTGCCAAGCTCCAATTTGGAATCTTCCTACCTCGCCCTCTCAGAGTGCTACCATACTTGGCTGTCACATTTCCACTGTATAAGTGTATCTCAAGTCAGTCATCTATTTTAATATTTATGAACATTTGAGTTGTTTCTAGTTTTTAGATAAGTAAAAGTACTGTGCATATTATTCCGCATGTCTTTTCATGGACATGTGATTTCATTTCGCTTGAGTATATACCATTTGAGTGGAATCATTAAGCAAAAGTAAACACACACATAGACACATGTGCATACATATATACAAGTACACACCATTATCTTTAGATCCAAAGTGATTGTATCAATTTATACTCCCACCAACAGTGTAAAAATTCCAGTTAGCCAACATTCTTATCCAACATTTCATTGGCCATTAATACAACTTCTAGCCAGGCATAGTGGTGCATGCCTGTAATCCTAGCTTTCTGGGAGGCTGAGGCAGGCAGGTTACAAATTTGAGCATAGCTTCAGCAATCTAGGGTCTTAGCAAGATTCTGTCTTAACCAAAAAAAAAAAAAAAAAAAAAAAAAAAAAAAAAAAAAA